ATGTACTGTTAATCCCGCCCCGACTGGTTGACAGTTATCAATGCTTGCTGGCATTGATATACGCTGAAGTTTCTGGAGTTCCGAGGCGGCGACGTGTATTGGAGAACTCACCAGAAGTTTGCGAAACTCGTCCACATGCCTTAAATTTCATAGGGTCTTATTTCACGCTCTTCCACACCTTTTTCCTGCTTTTTTTGATTAGTGCTTCATTGGCCACCTGTTCTAGCAAATGTGACCCCTGAAACCTGCCAAAGTCCATCGCGGGCGCTGTCTTTAAATGAGCGAGTTAGGGATCCTCACTCTCTTCGAAAACTCCTGGTAAAGAGAATCGCTCTGTTGATCTACACCGCACAGGATGCTGTGCTCCAACCTACAGACTTGTGTTCAAATTCGCGCGCGCGGGAAGAACTGGCAGCCATGCCATTTGAACACCAACGCGCGTCCGCGCTTCGATTGCGACGCGTTTTTTTTTAGACCCCCTTAAGTAAACCAACTTGTCTTTGAAGGGTTATAACTTTCTTTAATGCAGACCGTTAGGAAAGACGAAAACGCAGTCGTGTAAAAAAGATTTGAGCTTCCCGAAAAGTACTGAAATGTTTATAAGGTTGCCAAGTTCAGAGAGAAATTCAGCGTTGGGGATGGGTTGGGGATTTTCAAAATTGGATGCAAAAAGACCAAGACTGTCCTGGTTTGAACGAATATAATCTTCTAAAAACTTAATTGTTTGCAAATCTGGACCCAGCGTCGAATACTAGAGGATTCCTTCTTCCCAATAACCACTTCACTTGTTTCTGAAGTTTTCGGGATTCATGAGAAAAACGCGTTGGGGATTTTCTGAAGAACACTCCGAGCTGCTCGAAAAATCCGTTTTCTGTGTACCGTTTCAAGTGGGCGTATTCGGATATCCAGGAATGCATCTAGAATGCATCCCTTCGTGGAATAGGAGCAAGCAGTAGGTGTTTTAGCGCCCATTAGCTTCATTTGTGGACGCGCCATGCTTATGCTCCCACTAGGTAGTGTGACGGTGCAGTTTCTACGCAATGCCTGTCTGTCTGCCGCATCATCCGTAACGAGAACGGCAACTGCATGCCGTCAGGTTCGTGCTCCATCAATTGCTAAGTCCGACAAGTCCTTCATCATCCGCAGCGAACCAGGGTATGAGTTGTACTGTTTAGTCATCTATGTACTTACGAAATGATGCCAACTTATTAATGTTTCCAGTTAATTTGGATTAGTTCAGTTAATGAAAGTTTTGTACTATTTTTTTACACATCCGGGTTCTCTACAAAGCAAGTTTCGCTATACAGGACCAGCTTACTGACACCTTTGCGCTGCTCGTTACTGAGTGAGGGACTAATTACGACCCCCTCTCCCAGCGGCCAAATACGACCCCCCTGTTGGGGAATCAACAACGATGTGCCCTGTGGATACACAAGCGTTACGCCAGCGTACGCTAGCGTGGCGTTCGATTGCGCCTGCTGTGAAAATGCGGCGTGTGTGGCCGCACCGCAGTACTAGTACCTGCAATGAATTGGTTGAATTATAATGCAATGGTTGAATTGCATAACGTGTAAAT